TGCTGAAATGTGCTATGCAAATAAAATTTTATTGATTGATTGATAAGAAAAATGTCCGTTTGAAGCAGGAAGTGAGGAGGTTATTGGATCTTTCCCAATCACACTGCTAGCTGGTCTGATAGTTTCAGATGACTAGTTTATTTCTGGTCAGCATATTACTATTATTGTTTATAATGCATTATAAGTTGGATATGAGGACCCAACAAGTTCTTGACAAAACAACTAAAATTCTTACTTGGAAAATTTCATCCTTGTGGGACTCAAAAGAGTGGAGCTTCAGTTTGAGATTCCTTAGATCCCACAATGCAACAGTCTGGGAGGACCAAACAGAAAAACACATCTGTCTTTAATCAGTTGGGAGTTACAGTTAAATTTGAATTTGCACGTTAGCATGGTTTCCACCTTATCTGCAGAACCCGTGGCAAGAATGAACTCGCTGTAGGGATTGAAGCTCAGACAGTTGACCTCAGCAGTGTGAGCATCAACAGAGTGGCTGGCTTTAGAAGTGTTGTTGGAACGAGTGTCCCATCTGAATCAGCCCAAACCCCAAAGAAAGCAACAGGAACATGTCAGTTATCAGAAACACAACATAGAGGAGTAGTGTTTTATGGAAAGTTTCTGCTTTGACATCAGCTACTGACATCATTAGTTTCTGATCATCAGCAACGGAGCCAAACAAGGATTCATGGAGTAAATGCCATGACACGTCTTCCACAACTGCGGTGTGACCAGTGAAGATGGTCTTGGCGTCGACGATCTTTCCTTCCTTTGGGCCGGTGCCAATGTCCCACAGACAGATGGTCTGTGGAGGAAAAATTTAAAACAGCACAAATTATTCTTGCAATTGTTCAGTTCTTCGGATTTCTTATAGGCAGGAAGGTTCTGATTTCTGATCCAAGTACACAACCCTAATCCCCTATCCCAGAGGTTCCCAAACTGTGGGGTGCGCCCCCTGGGGGGAGGGGGCGCTGTGCCATTGCAGGGGGGTCGTGGGAAGCAGTCTGGATGGAAAAAAAACAAAACAAAACAAAAAAAAAAACCATGAACGCTTTATGCGCTGGGCTGTTACCTTAGAATGGCCAACTCTCTGTTATTCCTCTGTCAGTAGGGGCTTCTGCACTTCCCATATCAGTGTCCTCTGTCACTTTTATCAGCAGTTTAATCTGTTGTTAACATGTCGTAACCTGTTTTTCCGAGCTGCAACATAAGTGCTACGACGCTCACACTGGGTTTACAGCTGTGCAGCAGTGAAGGAGACCTGCTGCTGTTGTGCAGAGCTACACAGGTGTGTTAGAATCACGGCAGCAAACCAGCAAAACGCAAAGAACTTTAAACAATTTTTCCCCCAAACTAACAGAATGTTCAGTAAAGCTGTTGAATGCAGGTAAAGTTAGCTAAAAGATGACTAGCTAGCTAATATCAATACAGCACCTTAAGCTTGTTAACAAGTAGCTTGTAGGCTACTGGTGTTGTCTATGTTCAGCTACGATTCATTTTGCCCCCAAAAAAGTTGATTCCCCCCCCGGCCCCCCATGTTCGTTTGGAGCCGGGGCTGAGTAGGGAGTCTATAAGAATGACGTTCTTAGAGACGTCATTCTCTAAGAACGTGAAGGCGTGGCAGATGCAGCAGCCCGTTTGCCATTTACGCAAACAGAGGGAGCCTCAGGCCTTCCTCTGAGGCAGATTATATCGATGGGTTGGTCCAAATGGTTTTCCACTTGGACCTGCTTCCTTCAAGGATGTCTCCAGCTGGCACTCACTGAGAGCGTCTGTAATCAGAACTGTGACTATAATAATAATAATAACAATAATAATAATAATGGAGGCAGTTGGGTGGCGGTCTGACAGAGGAATTCACACATTGTTCAACCAGACAGCTATTTGTAAGCTCTATGGCTTACAAATAGGTGTCTGGGGGGGCCAGAAATAGTTTGGAAACCACAGGGGGGACCCAGGAGAAAAAGTTTGGGAACCACTGCCATAACCCAACATGATCATATCCATTTTAAGAATGTCGATGTAAGCAAATACTCGGATGTAGATTTTAGGAAAGGAGAGCAGGGTTTCC